TGGTGTGCGCTTTATGTTTAGAATCATTGAGGTAACAAGTTTACTATTCACAAAACATAGAAGCGAAATAAGTTTTATTATTATTTTACTAAATATTGCTTCAGGCTTTTGGTTCTGAATGCAAAGTTATATAGGTTAGTGTTTGAATGAATCATGAACCATGAATCATTCAAACATTTACTACGTTTTAACATCTTCTGCTAGTACCTGACTTACCCGGCATAAAGACACCGTCACCTTGATTCTAGCGATCTAAACGAACAATTTTAACAACCACGGCTTCATGGAACAAAATTCCGTCCCGATACCTGCCGTTATGGACTATTAGTGGGTTTATTTATGAAAGGAAATACTATGGTTTTACTAGCATTCTGTTAGCTTTTGATTCGCAGGTAAAAAAGGCACTGCAAGTACTAAAATACCATGGAGTCGTGGCCTGCAAAAATGGTTCCTTAGAGCCGCCACAGTGCTTCTACCGAATGTCAACTCCGGTAGCAAAAACATGTTATATTCTCATCAGCGGCATCGAAAACTAGCAGTATGCTAGTAAACCCATAAAACTGATCTTCATTCTTATGTCGAAATAAGGCTCATGCACAGAAACAGTGTAGGTGTTATGGCTTTACTAAAAGGCTGCTAAATTTTGATGCCACTTTTATCAGTAACGATCTCCTGTCAATTCTCTGGGTTTACACGGCGTAGGTCATAGTTCTTTCACTTCTGGAAGCCTGGGGCACCGATATCCTGGACACCGTACTTCAGCATTTTGGTACCTACAGTACATGGATGCAAAACCGAAAGCCCGAACAACAGCCTGTTTTGACACCTACCTTACTGGTAAATAAGTTATAACTTTTGAGTGTAAATCAGATTACCAGTGCTAAACATATGGCTATTTCCAACAGCATGGTTTACTGAGCCGGCATAACCTGTATGGCTATACCCCATTTCTCTCATGATCATTCTTTCTGTCTTAAGTTTTCTGACGGATGCAAATGAAACTACAGCAGCCACAATTTACTTGATAGACAACGTTTTTACCTTTGTAAGCACCTACCAAATTTCAACCTAGTCTAAATTTTTTTTAAATCTAGGCGGTTTTTAATTTTAAATTTGTCTTTACATGATGTGCTGATTATTTGGCGGCTGTCAAATCAGGCACAGGGAAGATGTTTGCTTGACCCAAAAGATACTTCTGTTTTGCGCCCATGCCCTCAGTTACCATTTAGCCGTGACTTGCATAGACGATCCCCTAGCCTACAAGATGCAAATGGTGGTGCTTCTCCACGTAAATCTGTGAGCAATGACATAGAAATGGTTAAATGTGGTAATGAGGGGCAACCTACAAATAGTAACAGGACCAAAGTTGGGTGACTTTAGTAGATCAGCTATGTGTAAAGTACTAGTGAGAAGTGAGAAGATCCTCGTGGCATTGATTAACTGCCCGAGATGGAATCCCGCCTACGCGTCGCGGCTTCTGTTTCCTCCATCGTCTCTGAAAATCGCAATTTTAGTAAACTAGTTTTACCGAAAAGCTGACAGAAACGTAGGTTCACGAGTGAACGAAAGTTACAGTATATTTGAATAAAAAAGGACTGGATCCGAGCACATGAGTGTCACTGTTCTGTCGTTGACAGGATTGACTGGTTGGCGCAGAAGTTCTTCGCCGTTCGCGTGGCCGCCCCGTTTTAAGTTAGTATTTGTTCTGACCTCAATGCTGAATTTTACAGATTCGCAGAACTAGAGACCTTCTTACCTGCCGGAAAAACATATTCTGCCTCTTCTGCTGTCCAGCAGCATCGGGATCATGTACAGGTATCGTTGTCGAGGTGCAAGCGTTGGTGAACCCGGTCGACGAACTCAATTTTAGGTCCAGCGAACAAGCTGCGGCGGTAAAGTGCCAGAGGTGCAGCTCACCAGGTTGGAGGGATGCTACCTCGATATATGGATTTACCGCTAACGATATCGACGGTATGGCGGTGTCAATGGAAAAATACGAGTAATATTTCGACCTTGGTGCATCGTACCTCAAAAATTGTTTCCAACTAATTTCAGGGGGAAGGTTGTCATAATCGTCAACGTCGCCTCCTACTGAAAATTCACCGACTCTAATTACAAGCAGCTCCAAAAGCTGTTTGATAAGTATAAAGACGAAGGACTGAGAATAGCTGCGTTTCCATGCAATCAGTTTGGTGAACAGGTAACTAAATCCCGAGCGTCGATGGAGATGGAACATTCTGGTGTACGCTGTTTGGGCACTGATCAGCGGCCGATGTCAGGCGGAGTCCTGTAGCCGCGAGTTGGAATCTATATAATTGGGATATGTCCATTTCTACTGATCATTTTACATGATCCATATGTTAGAGGTCGTTGGAAAGCCCCCTCCCACCCCATTTAACACTATACGAGGCTTTTTTCAAACTTATGAATTTACACCAGATTTACCTGTTTATTTTATGATTCTTTTATGATGTCTAGTTGAGGCTAATTGGTAGCGAGACAAGGCTTTTTGGTTTTTGACTTGTATCATTGCTTGCAAAGCGATGGAAAAATCCCTCTCTTCGAACACATTTCGAAATCTCTATAAACCTGTGAATCTGTA